GAAAAATTCCCATTCAGGGAGTTCCTTGGTCAAGTGTGCTTACTGTGGTCTTTTAAATTTTCCATCTCACCCTCCCAACAATGTTTGGAGGAGAATGTGGAAGTGGAAGGGTCCCCCAGGATTACAACATGTATGTAGTTAATCTTACATGGTAGATTACTCACGAAGAATATTACTGGATGCTGGAATGGGACAAACACTCATTGTTCCTTATGCACTGAGACAGTGGAAACAATGCTACATACCCTTTGAGACTTCAAGCACGCAAAATTGGTGTGGTATAAGCTGATTTGGCCGAGGCGTGCTTATCAATTCTACATTTTGGATTCTAGGAATTGGGTGGAAAGCAATTTTACCTCTATGTGGGGTTCAGGTAATTGGCAAGACATTTTCTTAATAACTTGTTGATTCCTCTGGATTTGGCGAAATAAGTTAATTCATGAAGCCAATTTCAAATTTCCTGATCACCCTGATATCATTATTAGATCTTATGTGACAGAGGTGAATAGCTGTAGAGCTTTGGAATCAAATCCAAGTATGCCCATTAGTCCCTTGCAGATTCATTGGATCCCACCTGCTCCCAATTGGGTTAAACTTAACGTCGATGGTGCAGTTAGTACAACATCCAACTTAGCAGGCTGTGGTGGTATTTCTAGAAAAGATGATGGATCGTGGCTGGGAGGTTTTTTGTACCATATTGGTATTTGTTCTCTGATGATGGCTGAACTTTGGGGAGCTCTAAAAGGTTTAGAAATTGCCTGGAAGATGGGGTTCCGTAAAGTTGAGCTAGAAGGAGACGCTTCAGAAGTTATTACGATGCTTGCTTGTAGAAGCAATGGAGCTTGTCTACCACAGATTGTGGCAAGAGTACAAGCTCTTATTGACCAAGATTGGATAGTGGCTCTAAAGCACATTTAGAGTGACGAGTACTAATAAAATATTATTCATTAAAAGATTAAATTCACACACACCCACACCTATAACACATATTTATTCATAAAAAAAAGTATATTCAAATATATTATATTCAATAAAAAGCATATAAATCAAAAGATATTTAATTAAAATATATTATATTCAAATAAAATTTATATTTTGAAATTGTTGCAATTTATATTTAATATATTTTTTCTACCATTTTTAATTTACTAAATAAAATATTTTATTCATTAAAATAAAAACAATTAACTATTTTTATTTTTATTTTTTTATATATATCAACTACACAAATATTTCATAATCATTTATATCTCTCATGTCTAATAATTAATTTGTCTTGAATTTCATCTTTCGGTTGGAAATATCATATTTTCACATATTTATTAAATTTTAATGTGAACTTTGTTTTAGTCTTATTATTTTGTTCCAACTGATCCTAACCTCCTTCTTGCCATTATATGCTATGATGCACGGACACGGGACACGACATGACACGCCGACACGTTAATTCTAAAAAATGACATATTTCGACACGTTAGGACACGTTTTGATATTAAATTTTATAAAATTATTTACCCTCATTAATAAATTTTATAAAAACTAGATATGACTAAAAGCAGGAGACACAAGAGAAACAGATGCGACTAAAATAGTGAAATTTAACACCTTTTTTTTTTAGTACAGTAAATTTATCACCTTCATATACAAGCTGTTGTGAATGACTCAATGTGAACGAAACGCACAACTCAAGGACGAAGAAGCTGCAACTGCTGCATACAAATTATGACGTTGGGCACTTCTTCGATCGTGTTCGTGCCTTCACGATACCTCTCTTCTCCTTCTATTCATTCTCTCTCTCTAACCACAGGTACATCGTCTTATGAACTTAACTTCTTCTTCTTCTTTTTACCTGCATCAGAACCTTTGTTTTCGCCTTTTCCATTGATTTGGGTAGGTATGCGAAACACCCGTTTCACAGCTGGTGTTTCTTTTAGGTTAAAGCTATGAACTTTTTCAGTCTTGGGGAGTTTTAAATGGAAATGGGAGGTGGGTGTTGCAAGCATTGTGTAATTGTCAGCGATCTTGAATGGTTGTGGCTTTGCAGGGATGATATTTGGGTGCAAGTTTTGTGGAGGAATTGGATTTTATGGCGTCAAGGGTTAAACTAAAGAGGCTCCCATGCAAGTATCAAAAAGTTTGTAAAAAAAAAAAATGTGTCCGAGCGTGTCCTAGCGTTGACCACGTGTCGGAAAAAGTTGACTGCGTGTTAAAAAAACATGTCGGAGAGTTGACCACGTGTCGGAAAATATTGACCACGTGTCGGACGCGTGTCCGAACGTGTCGGAGCGTGTTCGTGTTACGCCATTTCTAAAAAAAATTGCGTGTTCGTGTATGAAAGATTATATGTGTGTAGTTATCATTTACTGTGTCCACCTCTATTGTAATCTCCCTACTACATGAATAATTGTCAACTAGCATGTCTTATACACATGCAATAACATGAACAAACTCCTAAAATTGAAATCCATGATCAACTACTGCTCCTTATAATCACATCATTGCCTCTAAGTCCTACAGGTTTGTTCTTGTAGCACTTGACCCATTTTTTCATTGAACGAACGGTATGAAATAAATTTGATTGATTTTTCGATCAAAATTACTATATGAAATCTTCGGTTTGATCTCCAAATTATACTCTATTAATTTAGTTTTTCATCAATCCAATTGTACCGGCCTCCATATTAGGGCATGTAAAGAAATTATGTAACCATCATTCAATTTCGGTGCTATATGTCTAAATTATAGCATGGAGATTTCGGAAGAAGAGATACTCAACAAAATTATGGTTGAACCAATGTTATGAAAATGGGACTTATCATTGACTAAGTTTGGGTAGTAGATAAGTGCTTCACTGGTCCTGTTGGAAGTGTCACTAGTTGAAAAGCTTGATTTAAATAACATGTAAAAGTATGTAATATATATATATATATATATATATATATATATATATATATATATATATATATATATATAGGAAAGGTTATACTTACAACCTATTTTTTTTACAACCTTTTACAACCATATATCTTAACCGTTGATTTCCGTCAATCAACTGTTAAGATTTTCGTAAATTAAATTTATTAATTAATTATTAAATCACAATAAATGATAACCGTTGGTTGACGGAAATCAACGGTTAAGATATATGGTTGTAAGAGGTTGTAAAGAAAATAGGTTGTAAGTATAGCCTTCCCCTATATATATATAATAATAATAATAGTAATAATAAATATCATAATAATAAATATCACAAGGAATTCAATGACATAGTGGTTGCTGTCATTTAATTCGTCCAATGAGTCGGTTTATTTAACCGACGTGAAATTGTATATTCAGGGTCAGTTGTAATCGTCATGAAATGATACATTCTGAGACGTTTACAAACCATTGCGGATATCCATTGTAGAATTGTTTTATTTAATGACTGTTTATTAGAACGTCGTTGAAATGGTCGTGATATTGTATTATGTGACGGTTTGACCTCAACCGTCGTTGATATTCAATCGCGAAATACACATTTTCTTGTAGTGATAGTGATATGCCACCGCATGCAGTTATTTCCACTATAAACACCCCTAGTTTACAAATCCAACAACCTTAGTTCGATAGAATTAAACAATAATGAATATTGTTATTTAGTAAAAAAAAATTGAACTAAATTGCCACACCATCATCACGTATTAGTAATCACTCTCAATTTCTCCCAAGTAAGCAACTTTTATTTGGAAATCATCTTCTTGAATTAGGAAATGTTGTAACTATCCTAGGATTTTTGAAAGAGATAAAACAAGTCTCTCATCTTAATAGAGGCTTATCATCAAATTAAAACACTACTTAACCTAAGACACTTGGTACTAAAATTCTAATAAATATAGGTAATTTATTATCTTTTATTTATAGTGAAGCTTATTAAGTCTATTTTTTTTTTTTTTTTTGCAGACGTATTAAGTCTATTTTCCCTTGAAAGTTATAGTGCTTTTTTACAGGTGAACTCTATCTCCATTGTTAGATATATAGAAACATTTACTAAATAAAGTAATTTCAACTGAATTAATAATAACTCATGAAGCCAAATAGACTCAATTGGTATCCTCATCGTGATATTCTGGGAAGACTGTAAGCAAATTTATTATTATTATTATCCAATGCTTCTTGCTAAACCACTAATGCATCCAACCAAATCTTTACCAAATTCAAAACCTATAATTATTCAAATATATATTGAGGTCCCTAATTTATATACCTTTCTTGGTTGAACTTATTCATTTATTCTTTCAAAGATTCTTCGGCATCTTGTTTGAGAATTGAGTTTTTACAAAAAAATAAAAAAAATAAAAAATTAAGTTGTCTACTTTCTATAAAATGTTCTAAATATATTTCTTTAATAAAAAAACACTATTATGATAATTAGATCGATTGGACCCGCAGTCCGATCGATTAATACCAACATGTCTGATGTAACTAAAATGGATCAATTATGTAATTTAATCAGGTCCAATTGATATCAAATCGATAAACTGGGTATAAACTGGATTTAATCGATATTCAATCGGTAACAATTTGCTATTTGAACTGATTTTAGAACTTTTAATAAAATATTTAAAGAGTTATAGATCGAGGCATTCAATCTAAGACCAGCTTTAACGACTAAGCGAAATTCACATGCGTGAGATAATTTTTCGATTAATTTATTAGAGAAGGATCCGTTTACAAATTTTTTCAAATTGCACTATGTTCTCCTGGGAGAAGATAGCGTGACTAGTGTTCTTCAGGAAGAAGATAATGTAGTTTGTAAACAAAAAAGTTTATAAATATAACCTGTCCCTAATTCATTTATTACATAATTTTATACAAATTCAATACAAGCGATTGAACTTATAATCCACCAAATAAATTAGTGACTTATAACATAATATCCCAACTGAATCAATAATCGGTCACAATTTGATAATAAAGTAGAATACTATATATCAAATGATGGTAATTCAATTGGCGTATATATGGGAGCTGAACAAATAAAGGTGAGAGTATCTGTTCGATCATCTCTAATATTATATCTTTGGGAAGGATTTAAAATCTTAATCCTGAACTTGTCCCGAACAAAATTGCTTTTCGTGGAAGATATTTGTGGTTTATCTAAATTTTTTTAGAAAAATAGTGTTTCTTTCTTTAAAAAAAGCTCTCTTAATTCAACTAAAAATGAAAGGATAGTTTAAGAATCTAAATCTAAACAACAATAATAAAGCCAAAATCGAGCCCGCCATTATGAGTTTTACATTTTAAAGTTTAAACTTAGTAGGGCTAAAGCTTCTTTAACAAATTATTATAGTAGTTAACTAAACCATGTGCTTGAGAACTCCAACAAAAGTAACATTCCAAGGGAGCAAAAAGAGAATCATAGAAAAACGAAGTGGAGTTAGTTCGTCTTAAAATAACAGTTAGTGGTTTCCAACATCAACATTAACAACTTTCCATCGTTAATATATATATATATCCACTTACTCTCGGTTTCTCTTCTCACCCCAGTTAGTGAAGTACACAACAACAACAAAAGCAAAACAAAAAAACATGTTTCCCATTAAAACGGTCGTCGTTTTGGTTCAAGAGAACCGTTCCTTCGACCACATGCTAGGTTGGATGAAATCCCTCAACCCAGAAATCGATGGGGTCACCGGCTCCGAGTCAAACCCGGTTTGCACATCCGAACCCAACTCGAACCGGGTTCACTTCGGTGACCGGTCTGGCTACGTCGATCCGGACCCGGGCCACATGATCGACGATGTTTATGAGCAAGTTTTCGGAGAACCATGGAGTGAGGCATCGGCGGCGAAGAAGCTGCCGCCGACGATGGAGGGTTTTGCTCAGAACGCCGCGAAGCAAGAGAAGACGGGGGCTACGGCGGAGACGGTCATGAATGGGTTCGAACCGGATTTGGTACCGGTTTACCGAGAGTTGGTTAAAGAGTTTGCGGTTTGTGATCGCTGGTTCGCTTCGGTTCCCGGTCCGACCCAACCGAACCGGCTTTTCGTGCATTCAGCGACGTCGTATGGGATGACCGCACAGGACGCAGAGAAACTTATTGGGGGTTTGCCTCAGAAAACTATATTCGATTCTTTGGATGAAAATGGGTTCAGTTTTGGAATATATTATCAATACCCACCTTCCACTCTTTTTTACAGGTAACTCTACCTTCACTTTTGATTTTTATTTTTATGTTTTTGAAAGATTTTTTGTTTTAAAAAACTATCTAACTAATATAGTTGTTTTTAGTTAAAATGATATCTAAAAACAAATAATGAACAAACATGTCCGTCTCTCTTGAAGTAAGTTATTTGGGTTTTGTTTTTGTAATGTTACATGACACAAGAGATTATTTTCTTACACACTCATGATATATGTGGAGTCCATTAAATAGTAAAGTGAGAAAAAAACAAAAGTGAGACTCAACTTGGACTGTGTGTGTAGGAAAAATAGTTTGTTGTCATGTACAATGACAAACCATTTTCCCAACTTATTTTCATCTATGTATAAAAAAAAACTTATTTTCATTTTTTTTTTGGTAGAAACTTATTTTCATCTTTTAGTACAGAAAAATAATAATGTTATTTACATATAATTTTTTTAAATTTTTCTTAAATAATAAAACAATAACAACAAATTTTAACATATTTTTTGTTTTTTAAAGTAGAAAATATAAAGAGTAGATAGTATATATAAAACAAAATTCATTAAAAAAGTAATTTCGCCATGCATGAAGTATGTGCTCCGTATGACTGAATTTTTTTTAAAAAATATATGAAATAATTTAAGTTTTATTTAATAACGTATTCAACGGTAATTAATTTAAGTGATGATAAACTTATTCTCACTAATCAGATGTTTAAAGTCTGTGAGAATAGAATAAATAATATTGCGAGAATTATTTTTTATACCGGTATACTTGAACCGGATTAATTGATCTTAAGTTCAATGCTTGAATTGAATTAATTGAAATTTTGATGAACTAATTGAAACAAAAAGTTAATACTAGGGAACTAATTGAAAAACAAATTAATACTAGAGAATGAATTTGACTTAAATTTTTTTTTTTTTTTTTTAGATAAAAAGTGTAACTTTATTTTTATATAAATATCATTTATCTCTATAAAATAATATTGTGTTCTATTAACATTTTTTTTTAATTTTCAATAAAAATTTAAAACTAATTATTTCACATAACTAATCTCTTTTCAAATACCCATTAACTCTATCCAAATTAAGTATCATTTATTCTTACAAAATTGAGCCATGGCGGTGAACAAAATTATGATTACCATCTTTAGTATTTATGTCTTCTATTTAAATTTTTTTGACAAATTAATTAATCTATTCACCACTTTCAGGAGTCTTAGGAAACTGAAACACATAGACAACTTTCATCTATTTGATTTAAAGTTCAAGAAGCATTGTGAAGAAGGGAAACTGCCAAATTATGTGGTTGTTGAACAAAGATATTTTGACTTGTTATCACTACCGGGCAATGATGATCATCCATCTCATGATGTTGCAGAAGGACAAAAATTTGTAAAGGAAGTGTATGAAGCACTAAGAGCTAGTCCACAGTGGAATGAAATTTTGTTTGTGATTACATATGACGAGCATGGTGGCTTTTATGATCACGTGCCAACCCCTGTGGATGGAGTGCCTAGTCCAGATGACAATGTAGGTCCTGAACCATTCAAGTTTCAGTTTGACAGGCTTGGTGTTAGGGTTCCAGCTATCATTATTTCTCCGTGGATTGAGCCAGGCACAGGTACGATGAATTAATAATATCCATGATTATATAGTGGGCAACGTCAACTTATATCGGTGTAAAAATAATAAATCTTATATTAAATTTTAATTGTTGATTTCCATACATGATCATAATTTATTGAAAATTGATAATTAATTAATAAGTATCACCAAAAAAATTATAATCGTTAGATGCATGAAAATTAACGGTTAAGATTTGACATAAGACTTATTATTCTTACATCAGTATAAGTTGATCATATCCCATTACACACACATATGTGTGTGTGTGATTAGGGTTTCTCGTTGTAGAAGATAATTTTATCTCTTATATTATATGTAGAGCCCATGTGGGATCATATAAAGAGAAGAGAGATAAAAAGATAATATGGGTTTCACGTACTTTTATATATATAGATATATAGAAGATAATTTTATCTTTTATAACATGAGAAAATTATTCCGATAAATCAGTTCTTTTCCTCACTTTGTATCATAATGTATTCTTCGTATCATTCGATAACATGAGACACAAAAGCACATGACAAATCAAAATTAATATTATTATTTAGTATATATAACAATACTGGTGAAAATACATTTTTTTTTTTGGTTTATATAGTAAGGTGTGCATTCACAATTGGCATGGACAATTAATTCACTTAATTCATGACTCAGATTCGAACCGAGTTGTCAAGTTATTTTTTCACAATCCCTTCAATTGTGAAAAAATTACAAAGTTTTCTGGTGTGTATTTAATAATTATTTATACCATAAACACTAACCCTACTTACTAGAAACTAAATGATGTATACATATAGTGTTGCACGAACCTTGTGAGCCATTCCCAACATCACAGTATGAACATTCATCCATACCAGCAACTGTTAAGAAGATATTCAATCTACCTGAGTTTTTGACAAAGCGTGATGCATGGGCTGGAACACTAGAGGTTCTTTTAACTCGAACCAGCCCACGAAATGATTGTCCAGGTAAAATCTCTTATCTTTTTCTTTCTTCAATGATTGTTATATTATTATGATGGATTTGATTTTCTCATGTTGCATGAGATAATTTGTCTCATGCAATACACACAAAAGTGAATAGGACTCACTTTGAAGAAGAGAGAGAAAGAAAAAAGATTGGTCCTATCCACTGTTTTGTGTGTTGCATAAGACAAATTATCTCATACAACATAAGAAACTCATTTCCCTATTATGATATAAAGGCTAAATCAAACACTTGATTTAAATCAATGACTAAATAGTAAGAAAGTTAGAATTATTATTGTCAATATATATATTTCTATTTTTCAAAACAATGTATAGTAGAGAAATACATAAAAAGTCATCAATGTGACTTCAACAATTTAAACTTTTAGGTTGAATTAGTGTTTAATATAATATTACGGTCTATGTGATCAAGTGGTCATAAGTTCGAACTAACCGTTGTATTTTATTTATAAATAATTAAATATTATAGAGTTTTTTAGCATAGGTGGGCATGTAGTCATGTACATTGTCCATCATTCATGTTCAATGGACTCTTATTTGAGTGAGTGTATTAAAAAAATATAATAATAAACCACTAATGTGATGTTGAGTTAACAACTTAAACTTTTGGATTTTTTTTTATTTTTTTGGTAAACAAACTTTTGGATTTAATTATTGGTTCACAATGTATATATATTATTGGGAATTAAGGATTCGTTTACAAATATTTTTTACAAATTTTTGTAAATTACACTATGTATAAACATAGTATAACCTAGTGTTCTCCCGGGAGAACATCGTGTAGTTTGTAAGAGTTTGTAAACAAAAAGTTTGTAAATATAACCCTCCCCATATATTATTACTAAAAAAAACGATGTAATTGTATACATCACCAAGCAATAATACTTTAGATTGGACAAAACTTTTATTTTGACCACTTCTGTTGTGAATTTCCAGTGAAATTGCCAGACCCGGTTAAACTTCGAGAGGCTCTCGCTGAAGAACAAGTGAAATTGAGTCAATTTCAAGAAGAATTGGTACAAATGGCAGCAACTCTAAATGGGGATCATACTAAGAGTACATACCCCAACAAGTTAACTGAGAAAATGAGTGTTTCGGAGGCAGTTCAATATTGTGAAGATGCATTCCGGACATTTTTGAACGAGTGCGAGAAAGCAAGACAAAGAGGAGTTGACGAATCTGAAGTTATACATTGTGCTAGACCACATAGGGCACCACAATCCAAAAATTTCTTGCACAAGATGTTATGCATATTTTGTGATCGTAATTAACATACATTTTCATCATAATTTCTTCATGAATTACGTATTTTGATGTGTTCAGTGGCAAAAAAATTAATTTATTATTTTTTAAATAAAAAATTACGAATTTATGGCTGTTTTGAAAATAATTATACATTTATTGTACAATATCACATTCAATTTGGGCGTCACCAATCACGCCTAAATTGGACGTCACTCAAGAGGCAATTACGACTAATTTAGGCGTCACTCATCACGTGTTGACACGTGCTACATTTTTTTCCAAAAAAATAAAATAATTTAAACGTAAAACTTCTGAAGGCCATAAATTTTGACTCAGGTATCCAAATCAGGTAATTCTTTTTTTGATTCCACATAATTTTCGATATCTACACAATGACATCTCATTTGACATAATTTATTTCTCACAAACACAATTTAAATTTGCAAGAATGGTATTATAAAAGAGGTTAAACCCAGAAGCCTCTGAAATCTGGGTTTGTGATTTAATATAAAAAATAAATAAAGATTTGGATTTGTAAAATAAAAAAAAAATTATTATTAATAAGGAAAACAAAACAAAGATTTGATTTGTGATTTAAACTCAAAAATCAATTTGAAAAATCAGTATTAATAAAGAAAATAATTAAATAAATATTCTAAATCTCTAAAGAAGAAGGATTTTATTTTTGAAAAACATTCATAAGCCATCATTAGTTTCAGACCACGAATAATAATCTAGAAGCTTATAGCATTAATCATTAATTTCAAAAATAAAATCCTTCTTCCTTAAAGATTTGGAATATTTATTTAATTATTTTCTTTATTAATACAGATTTTTAAAATTGATTTTTGAGTTTAAATCACAAATCAAATCTTTATTTTGTTTTCCTTAATAATAATGATTTTTATTTTTATTTTTAACTTTAATCACAATCCAAATTTTTTAAAAATAAAATTTAAAAAAATTTATTTATTTTAATTTAAATAATAAATAAAATCTTTATTTCTTTTTTTATATTAAATCACAAACTCAGAACTCAGAGGCTTCTGGGTTTAACCGCTCTTATAATACCATTCTTGCAAATTTAAATTGTGTTTATGAGAAATAAAATATGTTAAATGAAATGTCATTGCTTAAATCTCGAAAAGTTATGTGGAATCAAAAAAATAATTACCTGATTTGGATACCCAAGTCAAAAGTTATGGCCTTAAGAAGTTTTACGATTAAATTGTTAATTTTTTTTTTTTGGAAAAAAATGTGACAGATGTCAATACCTGATGAGTGATGCCTAAATTAGGCATGATTGCTCCTTGAGTGACAATTTAGGCGTAATTGGTGACGCCCAAATTGGGCGTGATATTGTGTAATAAATGTGTAATTATTTCCAAAACTGTCTTAAATTCGTAAATTTTTATTTAAAAAAAATAAATCATTTTTTTTGCCTGTGTTCAGTTAATGTTGGCAATGGCACAGCGGCGGAGCCAGGCTCCAATTTGAGCTCGGGCCAAAAAATTATGTGATTTTTTTTGAGTTAGTTCATATCATAATATATTTAAATTATATTAAACACAGAGCATCTAAGCATGCAGCACCAAGAAGAGTTATAATTTTATTAAATATTTTTTAATTTACTAAAAATATTTTATTTCTTTTATACACGTGAAAATTGAACATATAATCTAATACAACTTATCTAAATCTTTCACCAAAAATATTTTAAGTTTTAGATAGGGCCAAATTATAATTAATTATATAATTATATATAATAAGAGGAAGGTTATACTTGCAACCTTTTTTTTTACTACCTCTTACAACCATATCTTATTACCGTTGATTTCTGTCAATCAACGGTTATCATTTATTGTGAATTAATAATTAATTAATGAGTTTAATTTGCGAAAATCATAACCGTTGATTGGCGAAAATCAATGGTGTTAAAATATGGTTGTAAGAGATTGTAAAAAAAAAGGTTGTGAGTATAACCTATCTCATATAATAAATACAATTTGTTAAAATTTAGCTCAGGTCGAGGCCACACTTAGGTTGTACGTGGCTCCGCCACTACAATGACTAGAGGCTGAAAAATAAATTTTATTCCTGTGTCTCATTAATGTATTGTTCTAAAAGAAGTATAATATATAAATTATTGGAAATCATATTTTCATGTTCCATGAGATTGTTTTCTCATGTTGTACTCACATTGAATAATGAGATTACAACAGTTCAAGCTTCCCTAGTAACACTAGAGGTACACTTTCAAACTTCACCTATAATAGCGGTATACAAGGTTCCTCTATGAAAAAGTCATTTACTCAAACTTTTCTTAAAAGGAATTATCTAACAAGCTAACCTTAAGTGTCTCACTTAAGAATCTCTAACCTTTTACAATTGATTCTTATTTCTTTATATAGAGGTGAGGTGGGACTCTTCACCTCCTTCTAGAATCTTCCTTAATAATAAGGTATGTAGCATTTATTGGGATGGTTATTCAGACATTTAGTCATGCACTAATTAATGCATTGTATGCTTAGTCGTCAAGCATTAAAGAGGAATACATTGCACTAAAACTCCCCCTTCCAACTTTAATGTGTCGGGTTCAACAACCTGGCACCCATGTAGCAGCCTTCAAACTTCCTAGCTATCACCGACTTCATCATCATATCGGACCAATTGGTGTTGGTGTGCACTTTGATGAGTTGATATGTTTTTCCTCTAGAACTTCTTGAATGCAGTGATACCTCATGTAAGCATGTTTTGTTTGGGAGTGAAAAGTTAAGTTCTTCGCCAAATGAACAGCGCTTTGGTTGTCACATTTCAGCTCCTACTTATCTTGCTCATAGTCGAGTTCAAGGAGGAATTTCTTCATCTATATCATCTTGCAACCTTCAATCACAATTATGTATTCAGCCTCGATCTTTGAAAATGCAACACACTTCAACAACTTTGATTTCCAGGAGATAAATCATCCTGCAAGTGTCGTCAGGTAACCTGTCGTCGACTTCCTCTAGTAGGAATCTTCCTCTAAATCAGCATATGTAAAGCCTTCCAGCACGACCTTGCCTTCTCCAAAGTGAAGGAACAAAATTAATGTTTCTTTAAGGTATGTGAAGATCTACTTCATTGTTTCCCAATTTTTTTTCCAGGATTCGACAGAAATTAGTTAACAAAAAAAAAACAGAATGATGCAGCAAAGCAAGCTCACAAAATTTTTTCTACAACACCACAAGTATTGCAAGAATGATGCAGCAAAGCAAGCTCAGAAAAATTGGTGGTTTATAAGTTTTCCCTGACAACGATGTCAAAAATTTATTGTGCACTTGTGTAACTCTTTTATTAATTACACATTAACGTAAATGCACGTGTCAACAAGATTATAGGATGTGTCAGTCCATATATCATTCTCACTGAGAAAACTATAAAGTTGGGATCATTTGCGAAGCAATAAAAGTAACATTTTTTTATAAAAGTTTTGTGATTTAAGAACTACAAAGACTAAACTAAGACTAACTACTAACTAATTATGAAACTATACTAAAACTAAAGTAAGAATAAAGTATAAGTGCACTCAAGAATAGAAAATTCAAGTATCAAAGTAGATTGAGGTCAATTTCCCCAAAATTGCAACTTCACCCGAATGGGAACAATGATATAGCAATTATCCATCAGTAACCAGAACATGTGCTTGTATGTAAGGGCTCTCACCAACCTTACATGTATACCCAATAGCTAATTCACATATCTCTATGGCTAACAATCATAACAATTTAACTCATACTTGAAAGAAAAGAAATAGAGAAGAAAGAAGAAAAGAAAGGGGAAAGATCCATGGAAACTAAGATAAAGAAAGACAGAAGTGTTGTTGTATTGTAGCTTTGCTCTAGCAGCAACTCCACGCGCCGCCACTCTCCATCGTTTCTCAGCCACCTGAGTAATGTAGGGATCAATAGAGTCCAATGATTTGTCTACTAGACCCTAGTTTCACCCCTTGACCTGTTGGATTTCTCTCAACGAGGTGAGTTAAAGTGTGTTTCTGCATCTTCATTTATATATGTGGCTAACTTGGGCTTCAAGTAATTCCTTAATTTGAATTCCCTAAAAGGTAGCTTTTTAAGAGGATTAGGATTTATCCTTAAGATCATATTTATCCTTTTTGTTACTGAATTGTAGTGATTTATAAGCTTTAGATCTTATCTTTCAACTTTCATCCATTGTTGTAACTGTCTTATCTCTTCTTCTTCTTTTGGTATATAACTGTCTTATTTCTTTGTTTGAATTTGAATTTCAAATGTTAGTTGTTTATCTTGCATTGAACGCACCGTTTCACTAAGCCCGATTGTTGTAGCTCTGCTATGGCTCACTTCAAAAACAGTGAATAGCTCTAACACTCAAAATAATATCAAATATCAACACTTAACATGTTTCTCATTAAAAATATAAATAGACAAGATTATTGCAATTATCCCTTGAATTTTAAGGGAATTATGCATAAAATATAGGGAATAGTGATCAAAATGCCACTGTTCCCCATCTTTTTTTACCTAAATGCCACGCCAACAGTGTTATTTCCAAATATGTCATGTGGGCAAGTTCTCTGGGCACTGTAGCGAACTCAGTTTGCTGATGTGTCACGTTCTTGGTGGACACCAAGTTCGCTACTTGGAATAGCGAACTTGGTTGCAATAAATGTTGACAGATTGGACAAGTTCGCTGCCACTTACAGCGAACTAGGTGTGCCACGTGTTTGACATGCACCTAGTTCGCTGAGGGTCCAAGCGAACTATGTGCCATTTGGCACCACTGTTGCGACTCGGCAAGTGCACCGGTCGTAAAGTAATAAAGTGTACCGGAGTACGAGATCGCTCCCACGAGGATCAAAATTTTCAAGCACTAGTTCGCTAATTGCGTCTTATTGAACAATCAAAAGTTAGGTTTGAGAGAATTGTGATTTGAAGAACTTAAAATTAAAAACAAGTAATAGCATGCAATTAAGAAAATTCAGAATTAAAAAGAATGATTGAAAAGATGA